AACCACACATCATGCAGGCACGCGTAACATACTAAATCGTCATCACAGCAGTTGGGGCACGTCTCTCTTGGCTCGTACTCTCTGCTCTACTGCTGTATCTCTGTCTCGTGCTCGAATTCACCACCCTGGACTCTCAAACTGCTGCTGTGGGGCACGGGAAAACTGCATACATACCCCCTAATTACAAAATGTGCGTACGGGGGGGGGGGGGGGTCAATTTTAAACGGACGGGAACACTACTCCTGCCCGGGTCGCCTGCTGCCGTCCACGCTCGTGCGTAACCCACTTCATGTATCGCTGCCCGGGTATGTATGCACAGAGTGCAAGGGGTAGGGTTCGAAAGGGTGGCCGTGTGGATTCCTTCTAGAGGGTTCTTCGCCCAGGGTCAGGGGTACACCGCCGTGTCCAGGGGGAAAACTCTAGACGGCCTGTTCTTCGTGTTACCATACGATGTCTTGCAGGACAGAGAGTTAGCAAGAGATTTCCTCAAGGAGGCGTTCCAACCGCCCATCGATACCATCAACCCTCTAGCCGACATGCGACAAAAGGCACCGGCCACTGTTACGGTTAACGTGAGGGGTAGGGGAGTTGCGTACACTACACTGTGGGACGAAAGACGGTCATACGAAGCCCCAGACGGGTGGGCGGGTGTGTGGCCTGGAGTTCTTCTGTAGAACGGTTTGGGTGGGGCAACGCGTGTCGAGGGGGAGTATGCACTTACTTGCTGAGCGGTCGAACTATTAATCATCTTGTGTAATATAGCCAAGTGGCTACGAACGGAGAGAAGAGAGGCACACCGGTGTGTTACGAAGCACATAATAAGGAACTCCCCGAGAGGGGGAACATGACGACGCTGCTGCTGCGCATGAACTGCCTTTGAGTACATACATGCGAGCAACACGGCACTCCTGTGATGACGCACACTGCACGACGCTCGAATCCCCGTGAAGTACCTTCGAACGAAGCGAGTCACACGGCACTGGCTGGTGACCGCACACTGGACCGCGCCCGAAACCCCGTGAAGTGTCTGCGAGCGAAGCGAGTTACGATGCCACTATGTCTTACTCCGAAACCATTACACCAACAACACACCAAACCCTGCTATGAATTTTTCTTCGTAGCTCTCATTTCAAAACTCCACCCGCACACACTTGCCATCGCCATTGAACCTACGAGCGTAGCGGCGACCGCGAAGCGGTACGCCGCGAAGCGCCCTTGGTATATATATATATATATTTACTTGTTTTGTCTTCACTTCAAATCAGCGTTCCCAGCACTAGTAGGGCCGTTTTACTCCAACCCGTGGTCACACAGAAGAGCCCCTCTCTACCCTCCCCTCCTGCGGTACTTGGCCTTCGATTTTTAATGTGAGAAGAGTTCAGCACTCTCTTCCCTCTGTGTACACACGAACTAGCGCTATCCACTACATCAGGAGCGGAAGCGAGAGAAAAACTGACTTTGCAAGAAATGCTCGCTTACGCCGGGATTCGAACTCCTGACCTGACCTCTAGAAGGTTTCGCGGATACCAACTAGACCACCGGGGCGACCATCTATATCTTAATAGGTGGTATTTTCTATGATAGAGATGGATTCGTTGTGTCAGACCCATGTTTATGGTCGCCAAATCTTTGCGAAAATGTTTATTTTTTCAAACATTTGCGGACAAAGATTTTGTTTCACTGTTTATGGGAGAACATCTTCGCCAAAATATTCTCAAACATTTTGTTCGACTGTGTGTATATCTCGAATGGGTAGTCTTTCTGTGTGTGTTTATATTATTCCTTAATTTTGAAATGGGGCAAAAGTCGCTCGTTTGACAAAATATTCTCAAACATTTTGAAATGGGGCAGGTCGCGAAAATGTTTCCCAAGAGCGGCGGGATTAGTAAACGACCGCCCCTTCCGTCCTAAACACCAACCACTGCGTAGCGCACACTCAACGTAGCAAGCTCATAGAGGGATCCGGACAACCCTAGAGTCACCGTGTCAATGTTTTGCCGGCTGATACATGGCGGGAGCTCGTCAAGCGTGCACAAAAAACAAACAGACAGGGGTGGTTTGGAGGGCACGGAGAAGCAAGCGTGGTTTGTGTCTCCAAACGGCAAAAAGTCGGCTGCTTGAGAGGAGAGGTGGCTACAAAACTATCCAGCTCTCGTCCTCTAGACCATCGATTCATGTTTTGTCTTCTTGGGTGTCTTCTCCATCAACGGCTCTCATCCGGGTGTGCGTGGTTCAGCAGCGGACTTACTCCACAGGCAGGGAGGCGCGTCGCTGTGAACTCGATGTGTTGAAAAAGTCTTTTTTGGGACGGAGGAACAAGCCCTCTATATTCAAGTGAAAAAATATACCGAAAAAAACGTTGTGTCCACAACTTTGCGCGCATAACGATGTGCCTCCCTGCCGGCTGAGCGCGGCCACTGCCAACCCACGCACAACCGGATGAGAGTCGTTGATGGAGAAGACACCCAAGAAGACAAAACATGAATCGATGGTCTAGAGGACGAGAGCTGGATAGTTTTGTACTCACGTGTCCTCTCAAGCGGCCGACTTTTCGCCGTTGGGAAGCGCTGACGCACGTTTTGGTCTCTTTTTGACACCGAGAACATTTTTTCTCGCACGCCCGGAGCGCTACCGCCACATATTGGCGGGCACAGCATCAGCTCAGTGCATCAAGGGTTGTGGGGAGCCCTTGGCGAGCTCGTTACATTCAGTTTCCATGACGCATTTGTGGTGTGTTGTCTGTCACAAATCGTTTGGTAGCAGTAGACCACGATTCCCGCCGCACGTGCGATGCATTTCGAGAAACCACACGATAAAGATATTTTTGTCCATAAAAACGGTACTCAAATGTTCCTCTGGCAGATATTCGCGCGCATATGTTTGACAACATTTGAAGATTTGTTTCAAAGATTTGGCGACCATAAACATGGGTCTCATCTTCAGAAAATTTAAAAAAGGGTGTTTCTTTTTTCAAAAATCCCTAATTCCGCCGCAAAAAAAACGTTTCAATTTTTTTTTAGCTACTCTAAAACCTATATGAATTGGGGGTGATATCTTCCGTTTTGAGAGAACGTCGACTATCAGACTATCAGCTGATCAGCTGTTTGCTAACATGTGCGTACCCGCCTTGGTTTGGAAGCATGAGCGCAACCCCTCCGTGGCGCTTCAAGAGAACCTGTAGACTAGAGTCGACGTTCGCGAAATCCTTTTGCGCGCGCAACACCGCCGGCATGCTCATCTTCAGGTTAGGCTCCTGACCCTTCTTGCCCCCCAACACGGTCATCCCTGGGATCCAAAGCCCCCTCTCAAACAGGATTTGCTTCATCCCCTTGACCTTGCCTACGTGATCGGTGGCGTCTGGCTCATAGAATGGGTACTCTCCCTGCTGGAAGGTGAGGTGCTGCACCGCCCCTTTCTTGAGTGTGGGTGTGTCTTCCAGTATGGTGGTAGCACTCTGAGGAGCTAGATCCTGCCCTTTTCTCACCCCCCGTACCCCGCGTTCATTCTAGATACACTCGGTGCCCCCTCCTCAACGCAATCATGGCACGATGACCAGTCGAAAAAACAGATGGGCCTGTGGTTCGGGAACTTGACGGCCAACAGATCCAACACATCCGCCATGTGCTCGATCATCTTCTCCCCCGTCCAGTAGCCCTCCTTGTTCTTGCCGTACTCGAACTTGTAGTACGTCGAGAACTTGCGATCGTCGCCCTCGCCCTCGAAGTAGAGCATGTTGATGTCGCGGTACTTTTCAGGCCTGGTCTGATCACCTGCAGCGTGTTTTTCCTTCGAAATGCGGCAGCGCTCACGCCGCAGATCTTGGGCCTTGTCGATGTCCTCTTGAGTGCCCTCGACGAATCCAACGTCGCCCACGATGGTGCCGGAAATCATGATGCCCTGTCCTTCTCCCTTCTTTCTCAGCCCGTGCATCGTCGGCGGCCACCACGCCATACGCTCCCCGTCGTTGGCCCTGTAGATGCACTCGTCCTGGAAGCAAAATATTGCCTTTCTGCCATCGGCGTACTCTTTCTTGCTCGTGACCCTCGCTCGTAGGTCCGGGTGGAGCTCGGAGAGAGTTTCCGTGAAGGCATGCACGCAGACCCAAACACGCCCGTTCTCCTTCCTGTCCCTCGGCTGCGTCTCCACGTCCCAGGTTCGCGCCTCCTCCATGCTCGCGTCGATCCAGATCTCCGTGTAGTCGCGGTGCTCGAAGTACGCGGGGAGATACGTCTCGACCCGGTACTGCAGGACGTCCTCACGGTCATGGCCGTCGAAGTACAGGCCCGACTTCATGTCGCGGTAGGCGCATCCCAGCTTGTGAAGCCAGGACCGCGCTGTGCTCACGGTGATCGCGTACGACATGGCTTCACCGTTGTCGTTCTTGATCTCGGTCACGGGCGCGTACTTGAAGGGGTTGTACCCGTCGGCCTTGGTCGCAGCGATCTCTGGCAGAACATCCTTGTTGATGTAGTCGCGGAACGTCTCAGATGTCAAGTTCGGCTCCCCGTTCTTGACAGTGCTGTTGCGAATGTAGAAGCGGATCCTAACGAGAAGCCCCTCGTCCAAGCTCAGGATCCAGCGTCGCTCGTGTCTCCCCGTCTGATCCAACTTCAAACACATGTACATATCAAGAGCACGGGGAAAATTACATCATCAACAAACGAGCCAAGAGAGAGCCAGCGTGAAGTAAATACTGTTCGTGTACACATGTGTGTGGAGGTGTGCAGCTGCCGAGCGCTCGTGTAAACATATTTTGTTTCTTTATTGCTACAGGACTATTGTATGTGCTAATCACCACATTTTTGTTCGTTGCCTTCTGCTGCATGACACATTTGAGTTGCGTAGCAGGGGGATCATTGCACTCACCACGACATGACCCTTGGTTCGGTACTCGAGCTCCCACTGCTTGATGGTGCCCGCTGCCACCTCGAGAAACTCGGCCGACGCCTCGAAGGCTTCTCGTCTCGACGCCCCCTTGAGTAGCTTGCTGTACACCCCTCTCAGGGCGAGGACTTTGATGAGCAGTTTCCCAGATTGCGCGTGAGAAACATTCATGGACTCCTGGGGCGGCAAGGGTAAATCATGGCGATGGGAGAACAGGGCAGGGTTTGCATCACACACGCAACACACACACGTTTCCGATCTCGGGAGGGAACACCGTCGCTTGCAGTAAGACAGCACAACTCCAACAATGTATCGAACATGCAGTAGTCAAACAGATGATCAAACGCAACTGCTTCAGCAACAGTGTCAATACTACATACTGTACAATACCGTCAGCAGAGCATACAGTACATACGACAACAGAAACAACAGCAGTTGCATGAGGCATGCGCATGTTTAAGTTCTGGCGCATGTTTCAGGTTTTCAGTACGCCGCTTTTGCACCAGCGGTATGTACAGCAGTAGCACAGCAGTGTACAGCAGTGTACAGCAGTGTCAGGCAGCAACAGCGATGGAACATATACTGTACATACCTCAACACTAAGGGGCCACGACGGTGTGAGTGTCAGTACACAGGATACCAGCCAGATCCACACTCACATCGAGCCCAGCAGACGTTGCCGCAACTGCACTTCGGCACTCCTTCACAACGGCGCGGAAGTACTCGACTCCTTTCTCCCAGCCTGCCTTGCACGCAGTGGCCGCCAAGGCTGCCTTCTCCAGCTGCGATCTATGCTTTGTGAGCTTGCGCAGAGCCTCTGCCCTTCGCACACCCCTGTTGCTCTGGCGCTTGAGGAATGCCGGTCGCCAGACCTCCTCATGTTTGTCCACTTCTACCGCCGCATCCAACATCGCGGTGGAGAGGTCCCGCACATGCATGTCAGCAAACTCCAGCTGGCCTTGCTCCACGCGCGCCTTGTATGTTGCCATCATCTCATGCAACCTCTTCCGGCCGAACCTTCCCTTCGGTCGGCCAGCCCCTACAGGTGCAGCACGCTTTGCAGGTGGTGTGTGGCAGTGGTCGCGCCCGCAAGAAAGATCTTGCTGACAGCAGTCTCGTGGCCGTTTGGTTCTTGGAGGCGCCGGCTCGACTTTGCTCGTGTCTTTCGAGAGTGTGGCATAGCGGTCACAATGAGATGGCCGCCAGACAGCAGCGAGGGCCGCTTCGGCCGCCCAGTCACGGCCCTTCTTGTTGGACTTCGGATACTTGATGCAGTCGGTGCGCCAACGCGTGGTGACTCCGCCCAGGACCGCTGTCACCTCCAACCGATACTGTTTGGCACCCTTCACTTGCTTTACACTGAGAAGCTCACCACCGCGTTGAGCCAAGCCTGCCCTGATGCTCTCCAGCGGCTTAGGGCGTAGTTGAAAAGACATCGGGCGTGAACCACGAAGTCTTTGGTGCAGCGCGTGAGCGCGGCCGTTGGTGTGATGTGCGACGATTTTTGAAAAATTGGCGGCGCAATTTTTTTTGCGGTGAGCCCAAAAAGGTTCGGAAACGGAACCAGTTCAACAAAATACAGCAGAAAGAGACCTTCAATAATCTGCAATTCCGTGGTTGTCGAGGAATCGGGGATTTTGTACGGTGAAGTGTCCCCCGCAACGATGGTAATAGGTCCATAACTTGTTATTGAGAAGGAACCAACCGCTGTTTAGTGGCTTATTCGAACGCTGCTAGCTAGAGCTTTCCAACGCATATTTGTTTGTCGCCCAAATCCTTTGGGCTCCCTCTTTTTTTAATTACCCCGCCCCAAAATGGCGGGACGATCGGTTCCACTGTAGTAAGGCAGCACCGGAAGAAGCACAACCGCGGGATACTGCTGACCTCCTGGCTGTTAAAGGAGGGTACCACCACGGCAGCTGGCAGTAAGTTGTCCTCCGTAGTTGCTGGTGAAGATCAGCTCCGCGAAAAGGGTAGAGAGCATGCTGAAACCATCCAAGAACGAGCATCAAAGCGCGGCAACCAAAAGGCTGCTGCTGCTGCTGCTGCTGCTGCTGCGGGGAAGGCGAAGCGCAAGGGGGCGGACGCAGCTCTCTCCGACCCTCTAGCATTGGCTCACGATGGCGGGACGAGAAGCCGGGCTACCCCAGAGGCTTCGCGGGAGGAACAGGTGAGGTTTTGTGTTGCTGAGGTGCTGTTGAAATGCTTGGACTACAATTCTACTTCTTGGCGCCAATTCGTGCCGGTCTAAATGTAAAATTTGAATTTTGGTTAGCACTGCCCTTGGTTGCTCGTGCTCCCGAGATTGAGCTCCATTCCACGACATCGTGATGTTAGCGTGGTAAGCGCATGAAAAGTTGCATGGGATCAATGTTGTACCCGCTGCACTTTATCTTCTACGTGTGGCATTTATTGGTCGTCCACCCATACTCCTGCAGACTATAATACACTCCCCCGACTCCTCTCCAATAACTCCTGATACATGTACGCAGGCTTCGGAGGAGCGTCGCTCTAGCGCGCTGGAGTTGATCCAGAAGGACCCCGTGTTGATGGAGCGAGTACGGGTCATGCTGGGGGCGAGCGCAGCAGACCAAGCAGCAGCAAAAGAAGCGGCGGTCAACGCGGCGAATGGCACATGTGTGATGGAGATTCTCAGAGATTGCGTTTGTTTTTTCGCCTGCAGGAGCCAGGGATATGTACAAGGAGTCTAAGAAGAGAGACGCACCCTCTCACCCTCGGAGACAGCTCATGTACAAGGGAGACAGAGTGTGGAGGATGTTCCTCGAGAGCCGGCGGTACCTGACGCTCAAGGGAAGACTTCTTGAGCAGGACAGCAGCTTCACCGACCCCGGCAGGACGACGTTTCTGTCGACGCGGTGTGGGTGTCTAGGTGGGCCGCAATGTGTTTGTAAGGTTGGGGTGACCAAAACGGTACCTGGTGTCTGATATACCCAATCAATGTTGCTGACGCATGGCTTTGTCGCCGAGGAATAAGACCTGACGTTTATTTTTCTCCTCTGCTTGCGTCTTTTTCGATGTTTCGGTGCTCCCTCCGCTTGCATCTTTCTCGGTGTTTTGCTGCTCCTTGTCAGTGGAGCCAACGGTTTCGCAATGTGCGTGCCAGACCCACACGCAGCAGGTGTTATATCTCGAGTCCCTTTCGTTCTTGATGGGGTCGATACACCAAGACTGCGACTGCGAGTGTGACTGGTGTGACGGGCTTGGTTGTAAGAAGTGGTCTGTCATGTGCCGGGACCTGAGCAAGTTTTCTGACGCTCTGGCGTGCGAGAAGGTGAACCTGCTGGAAGGAGATTCCGACGGGGGGGTTGAGTTTTGGGGTCGGAAACCGGCATGCGCTGCGAGTAAGTGCTCAGAGTGCGGGTTCGGAAAGCCTGGAGGTATTCCGACCAACTGCACCGCTCTTGCGAAACACAGAGAGCGAGTAGTGGCTTGAATACGCTTCGAAGACCAGGTCATGCCTGACGGTAACGTGCACAAGAAGCAGCAGCTACCGCAGACGGGAAGCTCGAAGATCTGTGGGACGAGTTCATGGCACACTCGGTGAAGGTAAGCTCAACAATCGTACGTCATGAAGGTTCACAGTTAACTATTTTAAGGCAGACCTGTGCGCTCTTGCTAGCGATTCATTAAAACATGCCTCTTCATGAGAACAAAACACAATCCATGCCCTTTTTGCCAACCCATCCCCTGTTTACTTTCCCTTCCTTCCATTCCAGAGCATGGAGCACCACGCCTTAGCGAAGTGGAAGGTTGGGAGACGCACGCTTGGGACTCAATTGACCGGCGTCATTCTTCCGGTCATGTCTTCGGACGAGTCCCCAGTGGCGCCTACTCCCGACCCCATCCCTAGTCCGACGCTTGACGAGAGCATGGGGGAGGGGGGAGCGGGGTGGGAGGAAGATGGGGGGGAGGAGATGAAAGAGGAGAGAGAGGAAGGGCAGGAGGGAGAGGAAGAGGAAGAGGAGGAGGAGGGGGAGGAGGAGGAGGAGGAGGGGGAGGAGGAAGAGGGGGAGGAGGAGGAGGAAGAGGAGAAGGAGGAAGAGAGCTACGTAAGCTCAAGAGGGCGCGTACGCATTGCGAAGAGGAAGTTCCGAGCGTTGGGCGAGTGATGATGTGTTGACTCCCAACCCTGAAGAAGAGTAGAAGCGACTAAATCGACCAAAATATGGGAAAACCCCCATATTGTCCCCGGGGGGGGACGGACGTTTCGTGTCCCCTGTTTCGTATTATCACCGTATCATTGCAACAAAGTGTAGGGACTGTTTTTCCGGAATGGCGGTCAAAAAAGCACTCAAATTGGCCAAGAAATGGGCAAATCCCCGTTTTGTCCCCCGGGGGGGACGGAATTTTCGTTTCCCCTGTCTCACTTTTTCCCCATGTCATTGAAACAAGGTGCAGGGATTGTTTTTTCGGAACAACGGTAAAAAAAGCACTCAAATTGGCCAAGATATGGGCAAATCCCCGTTTTGTCCCCGGGGGGGGACGGAAATTTCGTGTCCCCTGCTTCGATTTTTCCTATACATTGAGTAAGACAAATCACCAAGTTTCGCTGAAAACCCACCTTCCCGACTTTGGTTGAAAAATCTGAGACCGGATATCGCATGTACACACCCATAGCAACGGACAGTAGGCTTTTCAGCGCTTAGGCGGTTTGGCAACAACTCCAATCTCAATCTCACTTCGGCATACGCCGGAAGGCGCCAACAAACAGTGCTTTCTTTGGGTACTTTGTAAAATACAAAGAGGATCCCCAGGAGGATCTTTGCTACGAAACTTGCCGGAGGGAGGGGCGGACGGAGGCAAGAGGCACAACTCTTCCACCTCACTCGAAACTCTGCCTTGAAATCCAAAGCATATCGACCGAAGAAAACCAAGTAAAAATGCGGAATGCGGCCAACTGGGGGTCAAGAAAGTAAGGTCAAAATCGAACAATGTTTTGAGAAATTGCCAGACACTAGGTAGGGCCCTGAGGCCTTTCAGGATATCATGTGCGAAGTGATAGAGATGCTGGGGGATTCTAGAGGGGGATCCGCGGCGATCAAGTGGGGGCACGGTGATGGGATAGGGGGACTCCGTAGATCATTTGTAGGGCCACATTTTCTCAAAACGAAAAATATTCTGCGCCTATCGACGTATGTATGTATCTCGATGAGGCGATCACAAAATATCGTTGTCACGTTTCAATTCGTTTTCATTTAGAAGTTTTCACACAACACGTGAATAGACAATCAATCAATGCGTTTTGCATGACCAGACTTCTTGCGGAAGTGGCCCCTCGCAGACATGGGAAAAGTGATATATTTGGTGGTACAGTAGAGGTCCCTGTTTGGTGCCGGTTGTCGGTATAGTGCCGTTCAAATCTCGGCGCACAGACAGAGCCCTGACTAGTGCCAGACCGGCACTATTGAGGGATGCCAACTATAATAGTGCCGGCTCGGGCACTTCTGTACCCCACGATAGTGCCGGTTCACGCACCCACACTCCTCATGGAGTCCCAAAACATTGCCTTGAGAATCATTTCTGTTTTCAGCCCACTGACACTTGACGTATTTATTGTCATTGTTCAGCCGGTTAGAATACAAATATACACACTTTGAGAAGAGAGGTCCGCCAACATATTTTCAATCATGGGCGATAAGAGTGGGGGTGAAAAAAAGGAGGACGGTGAAAGCACTGCGAAAGGAACCGCGTACAAAGCGGCAGCCGGAGACAATTGGAGTAATTTAGCTGGGCCGGAATGAATGGTTTGATCCTTGTAAGGCCAAAGCCACAGCTGTGAGGTATATATACTTCGAATATCGAATATCCTTTGCGATATTCACGTAAAGGGTTTACGCGACATTCAGGCGATGTGTCTGTCCCGCCCAGTTTCTAGAGCAAAATCTGTGTGTTCGACAGGGTAGGAACCATTCCGATCGTGTCAGCAGTCTACCCGCGCCGCCCATGCCATGACCTCACCATTTACCTTACATGCGGTACTCTGTTGGCCCCGTAAAGCATAAGCGCTGCACTCTGAAATCACACAGTTGTCCCCAATAGTGCTGGTCTGGCACTGTTGAGGGGGTTAGGTTAGGTTATTTTCTAACCCTGAATAGTGCCGCTTTGGCACCATTCGGGCAATCTGAACAATATCATTGCCGGTGCCCGGTAGTGCCGGTGGAATTTCTGTGCACACCCCGGCACTAAACAGGGGCCTTCACTGTAAAATGAGGATGAGCACATTTTTTTGGTAATATCGCTTCACGCCTGTTTGAGCGATTCCAACACAGGTCAGTGGAGTTGATGCCTGGCAGAAGTCGATGAAAAATACCCCGGAACAAGCATACTCGATAGGCCCTCCATAACGCTTTTTAACACCCGTGGACACGTTGCAACCTCAGCGAACAATATGTGAAAGCTCCGGTCTGACGTAGGAAGGCCGAAACGCTGCCGTAGACGACTCTCAATTTAGAGCAGACCTCGCTCCACGAAATAAACATGTGCTCTGGATGCCAGCTTCACGCAAATATATCGCTTGCACCGAATGTCCGATTGGAAGAGGGCAGGAAGTATCTTAATGTTCCCGTTGGCACATTCTATTTAACTCGTCCTCCAAAAACCCAAAAAAAAACTGAGCCAATTAAAAAAACCTGTAGACACAAAACAACGTAGGTATGATGGATGTCATACGTTTCTACAGTTGTGCAGGTATATTGGGAGTTCTTTTCGTTTCGGATTTTGGACGGCACAGTCGTCTAACAAGAGCGCCAGGTGAGACGCCAGAAAAACACAACTTGTTGGACGGAGACCCCAGAACTACAGGTACAATAAGAACAATATGCGTGTACTGCAGCGCGCTCTCGCAGCAGGTACAGCAGAAACGTATGACATCCATCATACCTACGTTGTTTTGTGTTTCATGACCACTCTTTTCGCACCTGGAACTATCTAACCCACATATATATCCCTTTTGGGAAAATGCCTCCACTTTTCCATCAGAAGTGCCAGTTCCGGCACTATAATATTAATACTTAATTACCGAGGAATCCCCACTGTACTACGAAAACGACATCAACACAGCTTACGTTAGCTAACGGAAACACTTGTGAAAAACGTGAAAATCGACACCACACCAATGTACTCTGTCAAAAACGATTTAAGCATTTCTGTTCCTGAACCTCTGCGCGAGCTCGCTAGAGGACTCTGCTCCCGGAGACGTGGGGCCTTGAGCGGGCTTCGATTGAGCGCGGCGCAGGCGTTCCTGGAGACCAGCTGTTGTACCGCTGCTGATGCTCTTGCTGCTGCTGGTGTTCTGCTGCTTCAGCGGTTGCGGCCTGCCAAAACACCAGCGACGATATTACATTTGTTTGAACAAAACAGTAGTTCGGTCTGGTAGTAAATCTTCTCAACTATGGGATTTCACGCGCCCTGATTGGTCGGGCGGTCGATTCCTCTCCAGCGCCCTCTCACTGTTCCTCATTCCGACAACGCGGCGCAACCGCGTTCTCGTTCAGTGCGCCGCCGCTAGGCCATGCGTTGGCCGTGTGTTGGCCATGGGTTAGGTTGGGTTGGGTCGGCCACGGTGTGTGACACATACCGTGTGCAGAGCTACATATACGGTTCAACGTCCGTTCAGACCTAAACGAGTCACATGCAGAAATACAAACAAGGGAGCAGAAAAAACAGGACGAACCCACCTGCCACCACCCGTACCCACAGCGTCTCGTGCACCCAAAACACCCATCCTCCTCCGTATCTCCTGGAGGCGATTGGTCGATCGGGTATCGTCCTGGTCTGCGTGGGACACTTGGGTGCCGGGTTGGAGGCCATTGTCGAATGTCAGAGACTTGCGCGCGCCATCGTCCTGCGCGAGCGTCGCCGCCGCCTGCCCTCTCCGCAGGCTTCCATGCACGTCCGCCATACGCCCACGTAATGGGGTGCTCCGTAGTCCGGCTTCAGCCGTTTGTTGTTGCGCTTTACAACCTTCGAGAATGAACTGGCGAAACCGTGGCTTCAACCGGTCTACCTGAAGAGAGGTGAACAGATGTGGACACTTTGGGGTCAGAAAATTCTTCTGCCGTACGAAATAAGGAAGCCCCTGACTGATTTTGCCCCAACACTTCACGTGAGGTACAAATATGACCGAGGTAACGTCACCTGGTGTTCAAGTGTCGATTGGGCTTCAGGCCACCTCTGGACGTAAGCCTGAAGCTCCGTCAACGCAGCTGAGCCATCGCTGCCATCACCGACGTTCTGGGATTCCGCCGAAACCAGTCCGATAAGACGTGCAATCTCTGCCACGTGGTCGGTCTTGATCGGAGCGACTTGGGACGAATGCCGGCGGTCGGCCTGCTTGCCAGTTCGACAAGGAAATTGAAAATGGAGACACGTTGTTAGGGCGACAGATTTCACAGTAGCAATCGTGACATACGTTGCGGCGTGTATTTTGTTGAGCAACTGCCGGTCGCCCCGAAAACCTTGTAGTGGCCGGGGTCAGGGGTTCGAACCCCGGCGTAACCGAGCTTTTTTTGCAAAAGGAGTTTTTCTCTCGCTTCCGTTCCTGGCTTGGGGTGGAAAGCGCTTGTTCGTGTGTAGACCGAGGGAAGATAATGCTGCACTCTTCCCTCAATAACAATCGAAGGCAAAGCACGGCAGAAGGGGTGGGTAGGGGGCCTCAGGGAGAGGAACCCTTCTGTGTGACCACAGGTTGGAGTAAACAACACATATGCTGTGAGCGCTGATTTGAAATGAAGACGACACAACAACAAAATATTGAACTGGACCGTCAGGCCTACCGTATTTTCCTTCATGGTGACCAGGCATCGGCCCAAAGTTGTTGTCCATGCTTCGACGCTCGCTGCGCTCTCGGAACCTTCTTCCTCCCTGCGTACAAATTAGGGGAGATGCGCTGATCAAGTCTCTGAATGCAATCAAAGGGTGCGTGCGACCTGGAAAACACGTGGTCAACCTGCAAAAAGACGTACCTCATGACGTTGGAGGTTCCGACCACCGCTGAACTTCCAAACGCGCTACAAAGACGTTCGCACAACATCGACACCAAGCGTTGCGCGGCGTCACATGCAGTTCGGTCTTCCAGGTTGCTGTGATTCACCGCGTCCCGCTGCTTCTCGGCGAGGTGATACTTGTGCAGCGCCCGTAGAACAAGCGGAAGGCCAAGCCTGGGGAGCGGTAAAGCAGGCTCATGGTCAGGTAGTTCTACGTGATAGCCGCACGATGTTGAGTTGGGAAGCCGGCATACACCTCACAACAACGAGGCGCTTGAACGTGTAGCCGGTCACCCCGGTGGTCAGGGTGGTACGAACTTGAGGGATAGCAATTATCGATGTAATTTCGAGTCAACCAACTACAACAAAATACACCCCACCGCCGCGCACGCTGTGTTTTTGTCGCAAAAGGTGACATTTACGCTGTTCAACAACAGACAACAGCATGCGACTGCAGTTTGGCATCCACCACAACATTATGCACTTGGATTCTGTGCGTTCGGTGGCAGTAAGACTCTTATTACTTGCCTGAGGGGATTAGTCTACAGGAGCAGCATGCACATGACTACATCCGTAAGCGGCTTGGTGCGCAGCCTGTTACCCGAAGACGCTTGGTGAACACAGGTTCAGCTTGTGACAACTCACACACTTGCGATCTAAAGAGGACAACTTTTGCGTACACCCCCCTCATGCTGACTCTATTGCTTCGAAGGTTTTGTGGGTGGCGGAGAAAATATATCCTGGTTGGAATTCCCCTTGGAATTGATCGTGGAGTTGGCAAGCCAGACAGTCCCGTCAAGTCGAAGCCTGAGTGATCGTTCTCTCTTTTGCCGCCGAAAAAGGGATGTAACCACGGAAAACGGTGAAAGCCGATTCGATAAGCCGGGTTGCAGTATATCGCCACGTGAGCCGCCAAACACGTCTGTGGACAACGAGCCTAAGGTTTGGAGGTCATTTCCTGGATTCATTTCTGAAACACCGTTTTCGGTCACTATAACATCTCCGACACACCTGTTCCAATCGTCTGACCAAAGAGCGACAAAAAAACAGCAACACCTCACACTCGTTTGCGTGTTGTCAAAGGATCACTCACTCTTTCGACCCGCCATCGTTTCTGCCGAAGCTGTCCTTCTCGGAGTCTCGCAAAAGTCTCGCCAACAGCTTGACGTACACCTTCAGCAGCTTCGTTTCCAGGGAGCGCTTGCCTCTGCCTGAAACCTGTTGAATCCATCACGCACGGCCGACGTGTGATACGCAACGCTGAACATATTTTTCTCGAACGAGTAATCTGCAAACAATGCCCATCGCTGAAATAACTGATGCCGCTGCCCTGACAATACAAATCATACACTGGGTCTGACTACGCCCCGTTCTCGAACCTGTTCGGGTTCCTGACGTCCAGCACTCTTTGCGTGGGCGTTGGCCATTACATCTAGCAGGGCTGACATGGCAACCAAAGGGTTTGCTGAACCAGATGCCGTCGCCACACGGTTGAGTTTGTGCTGCACCTGCTCAGTACAAAAACGCAGCAGGTTGTGATTCATCACTATGCGTGAAAGAGGGAATAGTTATGGACGGCGATTGGGGAGACGCGAAAGACACTTGAAAGGTCACCTCTGCTATTTAATACTTATGGCGTTACAAGTTTCCTGGGTGATTTATTGATGAGATATGGTATACATTTGAACCCACGAGCAATCTGAGATTGCAATGCGCCTCATTTGATGCTTCTCCAAGGCGTCTATGACAGCAGAGAGCTGATCGTTGAGTCATACAGCCAAGGCGCTTCAAGCAAGCAGTACAGACCTGCGCGTACGGATCACAGGACTTGTAGTTGGAGTGTTGGGCACGAGGACCGATGCGCTGCTCGACCAGCCAGAGGCAGACTTCTTCAAGCAGCGCCGCCAAAGAGGGCGCATCGAAAGACCGGGGTGACACCACGCACACGTCGTCCAGAGCAGTTACCACCTCGGGCGCCAGCTCTAGATCAATTCCGCCTGCAGAAGATTGATTGCGACAACGAAAAGTATTCCAGAATAAGTATTGGGCGCAAAGCAAAACAGAACAAAAAACAGAGCGGCAGCCAAACATCGAACCAGGGGAACCAATTCTTACCTGCACCTGCAACCTCGGCGTAGTGAGCATCACCATCGGCCACTGCAGCACTTCCGGTGAAAGACAGCCGGAGGCAGCGTACGAGGGTTTCGATAAGACGAGAGTGGTGCCGTTCCAGGACGGCCTCCCCATCGGTCCCATCAGTCCTTTGGCCTTGCGCTGTCGCCCAGCTGGACAGGTTCTTGATCTGATGCCACGAGTAATAAAATCGATGAATACGTCTTAACGGCATGAAGGCGAACAAATGAAGTGTGATGCGGGGTTGGCCGTCACACCATAGCCAAGGCAGCCTACACACAGCGTCTTTACTAGTCGCACATGGAACCACCATATTGAGAAGGGACAGAACAGCTATGACAATAGCAAATGTGCTCAAGTAAAATGTATGACGTCAGCTCATACCTGATCCACCGCAGCCGAACGGTCTTGAGGAGAAATATTGAGCAACGTGCGGCACTGTAGAAGCCCGTCGTCGAGCTGGAAAAAAAAACACCACGAAACCAACGAATACGGGTGCCATGTGCCAGGCGTCAGCGAGCTAGAGTCGAGACCTTCAAAGTCTGTGTTCCGTCAAAATACGTCAATTGCGCGTTGTGATAAGCATGTGGCACCAAGTGCACAAAGCGGGAAGGTCCAAGAGATGAATTGACACACACAAGGCGACCTCGACAGGGATAACTCTTACGAGTAAATAATAGATGGCAGGCTGCACTGGCAACTCTGTCATGGAGACTATTCGCCGTTCAAGCCGAGGGGCTGCAATGACATGACATGTGTAGTTGTGTGGTGCGAACCTGACACACGTCGACATTACCGAGCTTCGAAGCATCATGCATCACACAATTTTGCTCGTACACTGTATGACACACGGACCAAAACTAGACTTACCTCTGTCAACAAAGAATTGAACTCCTCATCTGCAGCGGTGTTGCTCGTTTCTCGCTGCCGGCTACGCGGCGATAGTTGAACTTCCAGAGCATTGCAGTCGAAGCGGAAAGGTCCCTCGTCGTCACTGCCGGCGTGCCCGCTGGTGTTCGAAAGGGAGCAGCGACTTTGTAAGCGATTATCATCAATGAAAACTTCCATGATATATCAAATATTAAATATTTAGCGTGCTGGGAGGGAAGAAGAGTGAAGGCACGGCAGCGTTTCTCCACCTTGGCGTGCATCACTTAGGGATTTCAACACACCTGGAGGTGTTCAATAGGGCACCCGAAGAACCGTCACCCCAGGTGGAATCAGCTCCCAGTCCTCCGAGGCTGGCGCGGTGATTGTCATCCCCAGAACGCTCCGAGTGAGTGTCCACGGTCCTAGCTGGCGTCGATGCTAGCGCTTGCGGTGTTGGTTTCTCTAGAGCTCCCCCTCCTGGTGAGGTCTCCGGCGGGGGCGGCGGCAAGCGTGCTTGCTGCCCTCTGCGTACAAGAAGAAACCGCACCATTAAGAGGCCGTAAGAATGCCGCGAGAGTGCCAATCGGCCAGGCCCTGAAACATTGAGCGAAAGCTGGTGCGACGAAAAACTTTGCACAACGCAAGATAAACGACAACGAACTTCTTCAGGAGCTAGACCTGTGTACCTCTGTTCTGAGTCAGGTATGGCAGGTGCAGCAGCCGCAGATTCCCGGAGGCCCCGCGTGTTTGCTTGGCTACCAGACGGCGCTTTGCTGATGTTCTTTCGGTCTGCCGCTTTCATCCGCTGTGGAGGGAAGAGCCAAAACAACAAAAAGTGTCGAAATAAGTCGTGAGCTCGAAGCGCTTTCAAGGTTGGGACGCCTAAGAGCTGAGGGTCCCCCCCCTACCTGCTGGAACAGGCCCTCTGTCACAACGTGTAACACGAAGCGGTAGAACCTCACGCAGCATGTGACATTCTTTAATTCTTAACGTGAGCGCACCTCGTCGATGAGAGTCTTCGTCTTGTCGTTGACAGCGCCCAGGAGGCGATGAATACGACTAGAATCCTTGTCGAGGCCCAGATAACAGGCTTCAACTGCATCCAACGCCGCGGAACGCACCTCCGCTTGGTCGGAGTCCACATGCCTACAACACAACGAACCAAAGGTGAAACAACATTCGAACAAGGATCAGATTGACAAGCAAAAGTCATTTGACCAACTACTCTGCATTATTCAACAAACCATCCAACGAAACAAGGGGGTCCAGAACAACCAAGTACCCTTACTTGGCAAGCTCCTTGAGCCCCTTCTTGCCCAGCGCACTAGCCGGTCCATCTGCCCCGATGCAGCGTGACAGCTCCAAAAGGCAGGCGATACGGGTACGACTGTTTTTGGATGCTGTCGCCTGCATGAAGAGCGAAGGATCACGTCGAATGCGGGCGATAAGAGAGTATTGATAACTGCACGTCGCAACGTTTACACCCGTTTGGAACAGCAGTCCTAGTCACAATACACACGCTACATACTGAACGTTGATAAAGCGCCTCTTTGGGTAACATGTGCTCATTTATCGGACCCATGAATGAACATGTTGGTCACAAGTTAGAACTCACGTAAACAGACTATTTACGCCTTGACTTACTTGGAGAAGCAGCGGGGAGTACTTGGCGTAAGAGCACAGAAGCGGGACTTTGGTCAAGAGCCCGCGGATGGCAACACGGAACCGCTCCTTCGCTTGTCCACTTTTTTCGAGCAACGTCGGGAGGAGAGCATCAACCTCCATATCCTCCAGCCGGTATTGCGCCGCAACAAGCGCATCGAAGGTGTCTCCCAGGAAGTGTAGAAGCTGAAGAGTGGGTGAGAAGAATGCGGGTTTCACTGTCTTGAGCAACCGGAAGAAAGCAGGGCACAAGTTTTGACTTCTAGCTCTGCAGTGTACTGATGTACCGCCCTGGCGGTAACAAGGCCCAACACAGCAAGAACAATCACTCAACAACCAAACGAAGCAACCCACAATATTGTACGGTAGAACACGAAAGCACCTTTGCTCTTTGATCGACAGCAGCGTGCCTTTCGAGAAGGAAATGCCATATCCTTCTAGACTGCAGCAGCATCTGGCACAGAGTTTGTGGCATATGTAGCGCAGTGCAGTCAGACGGAAACAAGATATTTGGCTCGCAGTTCCATGGTCATGATACTCGGCGCCAAACGAAACAAGAGTGGCATCGCGTCAAATCAGACAATGACACATCAACCACCCAGGTTGCAGTTTGCAAGTCCTGAAGAGACACAAGAGTTGCAACGTTCTATCGCAAGCGTGGAAACTAGGCTCACCTGACCCATGGCCTTCACGTTCTCCTTCTCGCAAAGCCGTAGCGATATCCACTTGAAAATGAGATCCAGCTGGTCCATGAACGACACGCGTTGATCGCGCAGAGCACAGGACAGCAGTTCCATCCCCGGAGTTCCGCATTCCTACATGGTGCAGCAAACAAACAACACGAACAGGCAAGGAACACTTGAGTAGCGTCCAACACATACCAATAAATGAACGTTGCCTCGTGAAAAAAACGCACACACACGTCCTGAATTGCACAAAGGCACATCCCGATGTAGTTTCGCTCACCGATCCCTGCTCACCTTCCGGCAACATGCCATTCTTTCTCTGCATGAACTTGAACAACACTGAAGCAAACATAGCGGTTATCGGACACACGCCTGTCGGAAACACGGAACTCGAACTGTGCGGTGTCCTTCCTTGGCCAACATTGTGTGCGTTGCGCACCAAGACTACCAAGCGTCGAATAGACTCCACACGCTTCACACGAGTGCTAGGTGACAACTTGTGGGCACGTACCATGCTCCCGACCCGAGTGGGAAACAGTATGTCGACGGCATCCGATCGCGCAAGTGGGGACCAAAGCGCCTTGAGTGACGAGGTCTGATGGTCTCGAGGCTCATCGGACGAGACGAACCAACGAGTGCGCTTCTCTGATTCGAGTCTCTTAGCCTTGGAACTGGTGGAAAGAAGAGGCCCACCAGATGATGAGGGTGTGCCTTCGCTCTCTGACGTGCTCTCTATCTTCTGGGCACTTGATCAAGCAACGGGTAGAGACGAGGAGGTAAAAGCTTCAAAATGGCTGGACGCGCCAGGATGGCTGCGGATGTCAGGATGTCAACTGCGTTAACCCTACGTGTCGGAACCAGCAATGTCGTTCATTAAACCGGTCATCGGACGGAGAAGACAGACACGCACATGGTCGAGCGCAATGGCCGTTTGGTTTGGACTCCTGAAGAACCCCCGGTGTGAGGCCCACCACGAACTAGCTTCGACACAACTGTCGGGGGCGCCGCCTGGGTTGCTGCCGAGGGGGCGGCGGTATCTGCGGCCTCTACAACGCCCGAACCAGCGTCTCCTGGATGGGAAATACGGCGAGCGAGAGGAAATTGGGGAAGTTATTGGGCGACGAATGGCAGATCTTTTCGTAAGATCTGGTTAGAGTGAACCCATGAATAGAACTCAGCACTAAATACCGCCCTCAATATCTATTCGGCTTCACACTTTCAGCGCCAAAGCGACCTCCCCACGGGCAAGGGAAAGGGTGGTACTGCATATCGTTCTCATGCAGGACCGAGCAAAAGTGCGTCTCGGCGAATAAGGTGTCCCAAACTCGTGTACTAATAAAATGCCGCAACTCTATCGTCGTACTGGTAAATTGAACATGTTCAACGTTCGCAGTGCCTACAGGCCCTCCAAACTTCATGATATGCATGAACTCGAAAATCATTACATGGTGAGACCAGGCCCTAACGTGGGGGCACGAAACATGTTTTTAGAGTTTAAGTTTCAATATTTCCGTCCTGTCTATCGCTGAAACCGTCCAACCGTCCTCAATCTCGGCAACATATCAGTGTAGCATGATCATGGTTGACAAGCTACTTACACAAAAGCTATCATGGCAATCGCACCTGAGTTTTCCAATATTTTCTCCAGCGCAGGTTTCAGCTGGCGCATTACAGCCGGCTGGAAGTCCCGAGTTCCCGCACGCACGCGAGAAGGTTGCACGGTGCCAGCAGCGACGAGCACGGACAGACATTCTTGCGCTACCTGGCGTGCGCCGGCACTTTTGTCTTGCATGCACACCAGCAAGGGTGACACTAGACTAGTGGGCCCCTGCGGTAAGGTTGGATGCATAGACAGCAACAGTTCAATGTCATTGATATTTGTTTCACTTTCACACAAGGCAGAAATTTCGTTCATACCTTGAAACGTGAACTAAAATAATCCGACATAAACCAGTGGTACCTTTTCGGGCCATCACAACCCCTTCCAGATACTCGAGATACAGCAGTGCATCGCAGCTTCCGTAGCTCGGCCACCGACGGCCACCATGACAGATATAGTAGGTACAAGTAGCATTTGCTGCGGTGGAGGAGCAGCTTAAAACACGCGGTTGCATCGGACGCACCTCTCCCGAAGGAATTTGCGCCAAGAACGACTTGAGCCACGTGAGCAATTCGATTCTCCCCACTGTGTTGGTCATCGCTACAACCACAGGGCCGATCAAAGCCTCTGTGGTCGGGACGTGTAGTGTACCTAGCGATGAAACACCAAAGAGGGGTAGAGGACATGGGAATGGACTACGCCGCGACAACCCGTCATTCTGAAACACTTGTTTGGTATCATTGTTCGCGATGAAGATATCATCATGCATTTACTTCGTCAAAGTAACCGACATAGCACATCCCCATCCATATTCTATGCCTGATTTGTGGCTGAGGTGGTTCAGTAGGTGACCTGGTATCCGAATCTCGGTGCAGTCACGGGAACACGCCTTGTTTTCATAAAAATCCAAAAATGTGGACACAACGACAACATTTCATGTGTACGCAAATATTCGACTGCACGGTGGACGAGGGGAAGGAACGGCTGAATCCTTCTCGCGATAAAAGTCAAGGCAAGCACCGTAGAAGGAAGGTAGATTAACACCTCCTGTGCTGCCTTCTTCCTGTGTGACCCCGGCTGGTGCGTCCAGAAATTGTACAGCAAGATGGAAGGATCTAAAAAAAAAATGGGATGCCAAACAAAAACGTTCCTAACTCATGTACGTATGGCCTCTCACCTCCCGAAAGGGTCACTTTCTCGAGGGCAGCAATGGCAGCGTCCCTCATCATCTTGCGGTTGTCCGCAACACATGCCAAGAGAGGCTCTGCGTAGATGCGGGTTAGCTGCGAACAGTCGCAAAGAAATGGGAGCAGGTAACGCTCAGGCGGGCCCCATTCAGAGCTATATCAATATGTTGTGTTCGTCAGAGAGTACGCGCCAATGTAACAATTCACACAAAAAAAAGGACCCATCTGTGCAGCACATCTTCAATGACACCACGAAATGCGCTCAATTCAACCGGAGAAAAGCAAGTCTCTATCCATACCCAGCTTAAGAGAATTGGCATGTATGCATAGCAACAAGAAAAGATAGTGCCACGCACAGGCACGGGCCTTGTACCTTAGGGGACGAATCGGCTCCGACGCTGGAAGCTACTTCAGCCAGAGCACTGGCAGCCAAGGGCTTGAGATTAGACTGGGAATCCGCCAGTCGCGGAGTAAGAGCTTTCAGGACTTCCACCATGAAGCGGTTGGCCTCGAGATGATTCCCCGACCTGAAAACAGAAGATTTGACGAGCTGGAGGGTGTCGAGCACTGCTGACACGGTGCTTGGGACCAAACGCGAAACACGTAAGGAAAGTCACGACTCTCGACATGCCAAACCTCCTGCAGGCGTGGATTCGTCATTAGATGATCTGGGCCTCTCGTGCCTCTGTGAACAGGAATGTTCATCTGTTGGAGAACATGAAATGGATTTCGATCAAGGAATGGTACATAGAGGTCACAACATTTCGTCATCTGAAAGGAACATTCGGAATATTCGCACAATGGAGGAGTACTGCATTCACGGCTGTTTCACAAAAGCAAAGCAAAGTATGCATTGGTGAGAAAGGCCTCGAGTGCGTTTCCAATCCGTACCCAAGGCAATATCCAAGGGGGCATCCAAGGCAATAAGAAATTGTTGTTGATATCGACGTGTGCTAAAGCTATCTGCTGCGTGCATGCTTCGGGGTCGGAGGTGAACGCTGCAAGGGCGAGGATGGGTCCTCACTTTCCGCATGCTTGCACAACCTCTTCGATCGCCGCCTTACGCCCTTTCCATGCCTCCTTCCCCTTGATGCACTGCATACGAGGAAGGCAATCCTGCCACGCAAAGGGTACGGTTCAAGTGGGTGAGTTCCGGGTTGAGCATGTCAAAGTCACCTCAATCTCTTCCACGTCCCGGCAGGTGCAAACGACAGCTCTGTCCCTATACCCATCGCCACAAAAAGAGACGGTAGCAATTACCTTCTCCAGCAATGTGCTGAGGTCGATTCTTGGAAGACCGCCACCGGCAGCAGCTTGGCCCTGCACCTCATCACCGACGGTTGGTGCTCTCCGTACCACTTGCGCATCAGCTGTAGGATCATATCCTACCTTACTAAATACGCCATCCACCTGAGGGAGCAGAGCGAAGGAGCGCAATCGAGCAGGGTAAGGGTTCAACAGCAATATTGGCAACATTATCTCTCAAACAACCGCTCACATGGTCAGCAACGCTTGCAGGGTTCACAACACCGATTTGCAAGAAATACAACGAGCATGACACTTCGATCCAATCGTGCCAAATAGGTTCCCAACACTCTTACTGTAGCCGAGGGCAACCATGACTGCTGAGCGTCGTGACTCGGGTGAAGGTACCTGTGACTGCAGAGCTGCCCGTAGTTCCGGCAGGAGAGCTTTCATGGGCGGGCCAAGACGGTGGTACATACTCCCCAATAGATCCAGCGAAGACGTCCGTACCTGGTGGGGGCAGGAATATCAACAGAGCATCGTATGGTTCCTACATGAGAGAGAGAGAGAGTGCCACGTAAAAAAAATCCTGCTGGGTGAAAACCAGGGCAACATCCGCGGGGTCGGTAGCAGCCCCCAATGGTTGCGTGCGCGTCAGACACCCCAACACGCACGAGCGCATGTTGAGTGTATCCTGCCGCTGCGGGTCTCTCCGGCACGCGATACTAGGCCATCCAACTACCCAGAAACCACGATTTGTACTGGGAACACATACGAAGTGGCATACATGTACCCTAACCACATACCTTGGGGTTAACGTGCTCGAGCTCTGATACCGCAAACGCCACGACTTGCGGGGCAGGAAGAACTGCAGCTCCAAAGTCTTTCACACAAGCGTGGAGCCACGTGAGGGCCTCGCTGTGGACGAGAGGGGCCTTTGCCTGTCCCGCGGCCTTCATCACCCTATGCATAGGCCATGAAAGATCCCAACACATGATTGTAGCGGTGAGCGGAAACAACACCCACTCTTTCATGAATCGACCGACGAGACGTGACACCCTACAACGTATGCTTCTATTGGTAGGCCTCGTCACTCGTTGATGCACTTGATGCAATAAAACGAGATTCGGATTCCTCGACAAATTAGTACTTCACCTGCGAGCAACCCAAGAAGGTCCGAAGGACTCGGCAGCGGATGTCAGCAGTGAAGATGTCGTCTCCTGTCAGTCAAGCCGGAGCCGAGAACCCCCCGTGGGAATTCAGAAAGCGGAAAGTGGACATACGCTAACATGCTCGCCGAGGCAGTGAAGGCCACCATGCAGTCGACAAAGCATGTCCGGCCATCCCGCGGGTGTCCCCCAAGGTATGGTATGTCGGTTTCAACGGTACAAAGAGGTAATCCGATTCCTCAAATACGAAAAGCATGAGTGGTTTATCTCTACTAGTTCCACAACATGAGCGAAGCGCCCTCTGTCAGCAGAAGACTATACTATTGTAGTATAGCTCGCATTCGTAGCGGCTTGAGCGACTCCATGTGTTGCCCGCCGGCAGCGAATCAAAAGCTATGTATGTGTAGCTCGATATCGAGGAGTCCACAGCAGTTCACTTTTCGGCTACGTACACCATATGGCACGCTTTGACGTTTTGGCCTCCAGAGCCTGAAAGATATGAAATCAGTCGCGTATCGCTACATCTACTCACAAGCACCAACCACATCAAATTTAGCACGTCCCACGTGGGTGAGAGCTTCACATGCACCAGGCAGCAGCCGTGGGCACCCGAATAACGCCTCCCAACGGTTGGTCTCCTATTTCGATACAAGGCTGGCAGCCAGCAGGCTGAAAAACACTTTTTGCTCCAATGAACAACCGAATTTGACGATAATTGAACTGGTGGGCCATAAGGAAAATCGAACGAGCTAATTGAGCGTGTTTCTCAGAAATGGGTGAGGCCATGAAATATGATGCCGTCAGAGGCAGTGCATCATTGACCCCGTATGAAAAAAAGGGCGAGCAACACTGAACATGAGAAGGGGTAATGTTTGTCCCCACGGGCACGTCCAAGCAAAATCTACCACACTTGAGCAAACTCCTTTCCTTTCCATGCTCAAGTAGTTCTGGCAAAGAAACTGGTTGAAAGAAAATTCACGATAAATGTAATTAATGACTGCCGGTATATTCCCGCGAGCTGGGTGCGTTAATATCAAGGGTGCCAAAGCACGAAAGAGTGTTCGCGTTTATACACTCCGTGAGTCAGGAGGAACGACGAAGATAGAAAAGAAAGACGATCGAAAACGGGAGTATTATGTACAGGGTAACTGCTTTGTTCACCTGGAGCTTCCTGTCTCCGAGCTTTTCCACCGCTGGTGCGACCACCGTCGACACAACTGTCTGGTTCCCTTTCGCGACACCAGCCGCGTGAGCAGCTTCGAGCAGAGTGGTGATACCCAGGAAACTTGCCTTCAGCACGTTAAAGTTGGAGTCCTTGAACTGTTTCGTGTGCGCCGCCAACACCATAACCACCGGAGTGAGGAGACTTCCAGGATCTGAGGGCCGTACAACAACAGTTATTGTATTGTTGGCAAGTCGAGCAAACAACGTTGCCCCACAAAGAACGGGGTTTTCTGTTCGGCTCGACGCTTTGCAGCAATTTTGCCAGCAATGTGCTCTTCTCGTGACGCGATTCCCAAACACCAAGCTCACCTGACTGGACCCCCTGCGTGATGCGCTCGATAGAGGCCACCTTTTCTTTCCAGGCTGTACCGCGCAGCCCAGGCAAGATGCTATCTCCCCAGCCCTGGCGGGGGGGGAAGTACAACGAAACAATTACGAGTGGGTGAACACAACACAACAAGGGGAAAGACACTACACAAGTGTATATGCATACTCTATTTATCGGTGTTGCGCGGTCAAGGACACGCGGGCAAGGGAAAAGTGGAGACGCGCACTCACCTCGATCCCGGCCCCGTCGAGTTTGTCGACCGCCTCCTCCAGCGTAATAGAGACGGCGTCGTCCACAGCGTCGTCACTCGTCTCTGCGCGTTCAAGAAGGACCATCACAAAAGCCATGCATCAAAGCGGGCGTGTTCTTAAAGCTGAAGTTTTACGTATTCGGAAAAGTGCCAGGGCGGTCCAACCGCCGTGAAATTTGAAAATGTACCACCAAATTGAGCATAAACTTGGCTTGCGCCACGCCCTGCAGAAATACAACAAGTATACGGGCGAAAAGGTCGCGTATCGTATGTGTCGGCAAACCACAAGAGGGCGGTTGAACAACTCATGGTCATGGCGACCGTCACCTTTCGCGGAGGGAGCCGAAGGTTTTCGCTGACCCGCCGACGAGCTCGGTGCTGTTCGGGGCTTTGGTTGTGGTTTGCTGGTGCCTCGTGTCGCTGCACGAGCACGCACAGAAGGAGGTTTGGAGCTGGTGCCAGTTCCACGTTTAGGTCCTGCTGAGAGCATGAATCCCGATGGTTGCACGACAAGAGAGGTTCATCCTGTGAGAAGAAACCGATGGTAAACTTCTTCAAGTGTTCGTCACCCGAAACAACTCGCCAAAGTTTGAGAAGCACCATGAACGGGCGACAGGGGCGCACTCGCCCTGTTGTACGCTAGTGTTCGTTCACGGTTTGGCCCCCGGCATTGCAACTCAGCAACAAGCAGACATGATCGTGGTCCTTGGTACCTGCGGCTGATTTTTCGGTGGCCGCTGAAGTACTTTTACCCGCAGAACGTTGACCCTGGGGAGGCGCCGACGGCACCTTTTCAGGCTGTGTGGGAGTGTTGCTGCCTGCTCCGTTCACCTGGCCTTGAATCCGTTTGAAGGCCCTGAAAGTGGCACGATTGAGGAAGAAAATTGTCATCCGTGCTTGCCCATAGACACGCATTCAGATTCGGATAACAAGCGACCGTACCGATGCTTCAAATAAACGCCATTCCCTGAATCTCTCATTACAAGTGGGCATTCATAAAATATCTAGTGGTTACTGCCCTCACAAAGCTGTAGCCCTATTTCTTTGTGCTTGTGGCCGCGACAGGCGATCCAACTATTATCTCACTTAAAACCCAAATGATCTAAGCATGGCTACTGACAGGGGCCACGATGCACGTGCGCAATCAAACAACACGGTTGGCACACACCTTGCATTGGCAGTCTGTAGCTCCAGCACGACCGCCCACACTGGAGGTGCAGGTCCCTTCGCACCTCTGACAAGATATGGGGGACGACGAAAAACAAGCAAGTCAAGCAAGTCAAACGCCCGTGTCGAACAGGCTTCAACACTTCAAAAACTAGACTTGAAGTGTATCCATGTAACGCAGGCTGGCCCCGAATGTGTGGGTGGCCACGTGCGTGTTGAGACTCCATGAAGAGGGCACGTGACGTTGGCAAATTCCAATGTGAATACTTCCGAAACACGGTACAAGTAGCACCAATCGCCATAGAGCGAAACAGTCAACAGAAAAGATAAAAACACCGAGTGCGTACAGCCACCTGGACGCGTTGGCAATAGCTGCCACTGTAGCGCTCCCGGCTTCTCGAATCTTGGGGTCCGAATCATCCACAAGGCGGATCGTAGCCCTGGCGATAACATGTTCAGAGAACGAAGTGTAAAGTATCGTCGTGGAAAATCCAGAAACATGGAAAGTCAGAGACGGCCACAAAGGATAGAACGGTTGCTCCCTTACTTTGCCAGCGTCGTCAGCGTTGCTATCCCCACAGCAGGCTTGCTCTTGGCCACACATCGAGAGATCCACCCGAGAGTTGCCACGCGCGCGTGTATTGCCTTCTTGGTGTCCAAGGCGGCCACTACCTCATCCACCACCTGCCGAACAGTTTGCAGTGTTCGTTATGCAACAGTGAAACGTTAAACGGAACATGTCCAAACAACATGACGAAGCACTGTCAACAATGGCTCGCGCAAATACTCAAACCACAAATTGATGTTGGATCTTGAGTCGTGAGCCCCACAAGACTTTGAGCAAACACGAAAACCGGCAGAGCAAAACGCACTTGGTCCAGAGAGTGCGGGTTCCCGTACACTCTGTCCAGGCAAGTTCCAAGAACGCCTGCGCATTTCTTGTCCTTGAGCTTCACCAGCATCGCTCCCAGAATGCTTCTGAAATACGGGTGAAAACCCTGGCCAAGTCCCTCCGCCATGAGAGAAAGAAGCCGGTGCGAAGTAGAAGCAACCTGGCATGACAGTTGAAGGAGCACACCCCGTATTTCAACAACAAAAAGGCCATGTGAAAATGATTCCAGAAGTTCTAAATCCATCTTTACGGGTGTCGATCTGCCGGGAGAAGCAAACTTCACATTTCCATCCTCATCTACTTGACAATCACACTCCCGAAAACTTGAGTCACGTCCACGCACGCAGGCCACCCCTCTTTATCATGATTCAAGGCGCTCTCCACCGCTTGTTCAACTGTGACAGAACAGGCAAGAAGGAACTGCGTGACTGCGGGAGTCTATTCATTGAGCTTACAACTCCAAACAAGCTAGGCCGCATGCATCACCTGAACGTGTGAATGATCCCCCAGGCGCTTCAGCTTTTGCACCATGTCACCGTAGTCGCCCGCAGTCAGCTTAGGCACATCGCCGATCATCTCGATGGCAATGTTGAGGCCCTCCAAGATCTCGCTCCACTTCGTGGCTGCAACCTTTTGGTTGAATTCGGTCTTGGGTAGCTTGGACAGGATGTCAACCTGTACCAATGTATTATTAACAAGCTGGTTGGAAAACACAAGCCTGAAAGGTCTTCCACTGTGGACCTAGCTCGCCATCGCGCTACGAATAGCAGTAAAACGGCGATGTTCCTCTTTCGGACCTTGACGTGCGCTTGAAGGGGGGGAAGAGGAGCAATTTTGATACTGACGAATTTTGAAAACAAACGCAAGAGGTCCAGAAATCTCCTAAACTACGGGTTACAGCAGTAGCTGATGCCACGAGCAACTGCTGACACTCCGTTCAGGGATTTACGGTTCGTGGCGGTGAGCATGGCTGTGACAAATGTTGGATGCCGCTTGGTTCCGGCGCAGGTTTCGGACTGTTTTCAGAGGCTGCTGCGACCTTCGATATTTCAGCTCCAGTAGCAAACCTGAACGTGTCGGCACGCACGACGCCTCTTCATGGTGTCCTCTACCGATGACAATAGAATGCCTGACGTAACGCTGGCGGGAAGGTTGTTTTCTTTTTTTGTATAGGATTAAAGTATGGGAAAAGAGCCAGCGTCAACACCCCTTTCTTCCCCCCTTTAAAGCATGCCCACAGCGAGATGCCACGTGCAGGTCGGACATAAAAGTGCAGGAAGAGCAAAATCCTGTGGTGCTCGAACGCCCTCGGGCTGTGGCACATCGTAAAATGTAAAATGCAGCAACGTTGGTCGCCTCCCGCGGTGCACCTCTGACTACTTCAGGGTCAGTTCGGCGGCCCAAGTGGCCACATTCTTCTTTGTCTTCAAAAGAAATATCTGGAAGTTTGTGCAGCATCCTGGGAAGCAGTGGGCCATACGAACGGTGGAGAGTTCGACACGCATTCACGTACCGGTTCGATGAATTCCCTTGGGTCGAACACCTCCTCCACTGCGGGACCCTTGGACTCATCTCCGACTTCGTCCGACTCCGATGGCCTGATGTACAACGCGTCACAACAATATCGCTAATTGTTTGTTATCTGCCAAAAATGATAATATGATATTGACCTCACTCCATGGATTACGCACGCGCCTTAGCTTGTGGTCAGTGAGTTGGGAGAAGTCCGATATTCTAGGCAGTAGATCAGGTAACTGGTGCTGTACGGTTGAGTTTCTTGAACAGATCAACATTCACACGCAACCACGGTGGATATGTTGCTGTTCCCCTCCTTGTTCGCCTCCCGGTTACAAAACTATAGAGGTAACATGAACACGACGGTGCCCGTGCCACAATCTACGGTAAGCCCCCATCCGTGGATACAAGCTCTCACCGGTCCTTCCTGAGGTAAAGTGTTGGAACCCGAGGCGAGCCTGTTGCCTTTTCTTTTACAAGGCCATCCAGATCAGTCTTTTGGGCTGATCGCAGCTCCGAAGTGACCGATGCCAGCATAGGCTCACCACACCAGCTGATGATCTCAGCAGCCAATGCTAGCCCCTGTTGACGCACGGGCACTACCTTGTGCGATATCATGCCTGTGGTACATAAATAGTTAAAACACGGTGAAGTTAGTCACATAAAACCGTGCGATGCAGGGCAGCATCATAGCCCCAATGGCCCCTTCCTTGGCGCCAGTAGAAAAAACCACATTCGAAGAATTGAGCAGTATAGTAAAGCTGCCAGATGATATCCAATCGTGTAGGATATTTATGATAGTTCGATCGAATTGGCATCGTCATGTGCTTCCGGCATTCACCGCGATACCTGGCAGAGCAGCCTTGAGATCTTTGAGAGGCATTGCTCTCGCTCCGAACAGTTGAATCGCGTTGGCGAGGATGCCAACACAGGCGGGTGGTACCTTGGGCTTCTTGTCAGAAAGCCCCTCCAGCAGTACGGCTGCCACGACATCAGGCGTGTCCACCTGTAACCCAGACAAAAAGGGGTTTGGTGTTGAATTATTGTACACGAGGACAAGTTGGCCGCAATCTAGACGTTAGCGCAGGCACGAACACATTCTTAAGCCGCGGATGCGTACTCCAATTTTGTGCAATCGCTACAGCCATGCCCTTGCGAACATCGACGAGTACACGAGACTCTGTTTCAAGGCCGTGGTGTACGACTTTTGTCCTCACCTCCATGAATTTGAGCAGCACTGCCTCTGCCCGAGATACAGTGCCTGGCCTACCGCTCAAGCCTTTTGCCACGATTCCTGGGGCTAGCTCGGGAGCGTGCTCACAGGCTTTGACATAGCCGTCGGCAAATGCCAGTACGGCGTCCAGAGCCGCATCGAGACAAGACGCGTTGGAATCTTGCACCATGCCCTTGAGAAAGGGTGCTGCCAAATCGGGAGGAAAGGTGCAACGACACTCTGTGAGAATATTGGCGCAGCATACTTGGGGTTGATGTCAAAGACGTTCTCTGCCAAACTGCCCCATAACAATCCCACGCCGCGCGTCGCTAATGGTGCATGCAGCAAAGGTTCACATTGCGTCGGGCTGAGCGTCTATGGATTAAGGACTCCTTGCGTTTGTTGGCGTGGCACACTGAAAGAATAATAAACCGTTGTAGATAACGACAAATTCAGATCCGTCCACTCACCGTAGTCGCGAAAGACGTCGCTATCGTCCGACATGGCCTGTTGATAGAGACTCAGCACTTGATCATACGCCGCTTTACGATCTTTCCAGTTCTGCCATCGACGAATAGCGAATAGAAGGCCAACCAAATGCAAATATGAGCATGCATGTCAAGGCCTCTCGCGAAGCGGGGCTATTTCTGCGGTAGCGCCGACCATCGGTAGATGGGTCACGCCGCATTCAGTTCCACCTTCCCTCTGCTGATCTATATTCTAGACCAAATGAAGGTACAGTAGACGTCCCTGTTTAGTGCCGGTTGAAAAGTGGCGATACTCGGCATAGTGCCGGAGTTTTCGGCGGGCACACGCTGAATTTCCAAGCCATTCTCAGTGCTTTGAACAGTGCCGGTCCGGTTTAGTGCCGGTGAATTTTCTGGGCACATACATGTACCGGCACGAAACAGAGACTTGTACGAAATACTGACCTCATGAACACGACATGAGACCTCGAGGTCTGCTGTTGTAGAGCAGCGAGCAGCCGTGTAGGAGGGTTTACCTTTGAAACGAGTCGACCTTCGAGAGGTCCATCTTCACCAGTATCACCAGCGGCACCCCCGCCCTGTGACGCGGCTACTGGCACAGCGGGTTGCGGCGCTGCTGTGGGGACCGCTGATAAATGATCGGACGAGGCAACAGCGGGGGAATGTTTTGCGATGTTCATTCAACACGTCATGCCACCAGTTAACCTCAGCCAAGTAGTTCCTTGAACGTGATGTACCACGCAACTGCCTGCCGTGAATACATCGGGTGAGGTGGGAAACTTTGCGTGGTAGGGACGGCGGTGGCTGGTACGCAAAAGGTTGGATTTGGTATTTTGGCGAGTGGAAATTGCCCAACGGCAAAAAACCTTTCGAGACACAAAGGAGTGCAGCCAGCCGTACCGATAACGCCAACGATGCTCCTTGTCCACGGCGTGCGAAACTATTTATCGCGAAGGCAATTGAAACTGTTGGTTTTCATTTTGAGGCGATGTGATTTGACGTACAGCAGCATACAGCATGAGTCTGCAGCAGTAAATTGCAGAAGCATGCTGTGATACAAGGCCGTTGGATGTTGCATTTGAATCTGAAGAGAGTGGTGTCAACATCTCGCTCTATCTGTCGCACAAACACCTTTCAGGAAAAATGGCCTATGCTTACGACATAACACTTCCCGATCACCTGCTTTTGGAACTGGAGCGGCAGCAGGTCGAGGTCGGGGATTGGGCTTGCGCTTGGGAATGGGCTTGGGTTTGATCGGCGGTTGGGGCTCTGATGGGGAGGTGGAATCGTTCCCTTCTTCTTCCCCATAGTCAATCGCAGACGAAAATTGCTTCAAGTCCTCGACTGAAAACTGCGCAGACGCTGCCGCACACTGCGGGCAAGTGCAGTCCATTGAGCGCTTGCACTCCATGGTGCGTGCAAGTTTTCTGTCGCGGAGCAAGCAGACCAACAAACGAAGGATGTGCACAGAAGACACACACAGCAACACAGCAAGCAGCGAAGCCGCGAACGGGGAGCCCCGCGGATTCATGATCTCAGGAAACACTCCTAACAGCGAGTCCCCCCTATCCTTTGCTTTGCTTTCCTTTTCCTGTTTCTCCCTCTGCCCTCTTACTCATTGTCACACTCATTTCATTGCAAGAACTTGAACACATCCCATTCGACTGCGCCATTATCTCGAACGGGAAGTATTTTTGTGGTTGTCGTTCATTTCTAAGAAGTATGCATACGAAGTTCGTGTGTATCTCGAACACCCGTAAATACATCCTTTGAACTGTGAACGGACGGCTGTTGTGTGGTTCTTTGATGTTACTATAGTACTGCTGTATCGCATGTACATCTGGGATGTTTGAAGTAAGTGTGAAAAATGAAGTATTTTCTAAGCACCGCCTGTGTCCCACCATGATTGTTTCCGGGTTCGATCGCCGCCCGGCCTTTTATGATCTGCTGTAGACTATAGTTGTTATCGCGTCTGTTTGAGGGTGGATGTTATGTCGATTCTATTCCGTCTGTGGGTTATTAATTCTAGACGTAAGTGTGACCCATGGGGGCTAGTTGGCCTGTGGCCACGGAAGGCCCCCGCTTCAGTTAGACCGGGCACGGATATGTTAGAAGATGCGAGCAGAGATCCGTACTAAAATCAAGATGAAGCGTGCATCATTACCACTTCTTCTGCAGAGGAGCGATTAGCCGACCGAACTTGGGGGTGGCAGGAAAACACGTTACCCGGTGGCGTAAACACCGGCACTAAATGGGCGCTGACACTTTTCAAAAGTCTTCGGCTCGAGATACCATCGCCACAAAAAGAGAATGTTCCGGTAGTTGAATGAACCTACGCCGGAAAAAAAGTTCTTGACAAGCTCATGTGTAAAGATTTTCGTCTGCTGTGTACGTCCGAAACCATTTCGTCAATTTCACGACACAGCTCTGCAGGGCATTCGTGCCCGCTGCGAGTAGCTTGTACATCCTAGAGAAGGGCGTGTACACTGCGCGAAGAGATCTCTCACGACGGACTCAACTACGACTACGCGGCAAGGAACTGCTATGAAGGCTTTGCGGGTGTACAGGCCCTCGAACACCGAATACTCCCGCAGAGTACGCGACACACCTCCTTCTGCAGGCTCGGGTTCTCATTGACTATGCAGGTCACCAACAGCCACTACTGCTGTAGTGTACATAAGGGTCCTTAACCGGGCCATCACAAACGTGTGCTAGTTCTGTGGCGACGCGACCTGTACCCCTGCGTGCAAAAATCTGTCAAAGTTTCGAGCCCCGATCCACTCCACCTGGGAGAAGGGGGAGGTGGGGGGCTGCAGCTCGAGTAGGTTTAGACAAGTGAAGCCGCACCTGCGAAAATGGGTTGTGTTCTCGTAAGCTCACGTTTGTCAACAAGCAACCGAATAACGCAAGCACAGTCGAAGCGTCTACCAGCATGCTGAAAAGGGCGATATTATCCCACACGTACTCTCGCCTCTGTACACATCGCATTTGCAACATCAAACTATATCTACATGAGCTCCTCCTACACTGCCCGGGGCACAGAAACATACGGGAACGGCTCTTGGGTAGGCAATGTGCCTCTGCACGCCTTGCAGGCACGAGGGACTGGGGCTCAGCTGCACTCTCCAAATCTAGGTGCTGGCTAGCCATCACTCCCAAACCGACCCTCCTACTCTTTGGCAGACGGTGGTTTTGTTGGTGTCTCCTTCGTATCTCTTTGATAGATCTCGTCGAATACATGCTCCGCGTCCTACAAAATAGTGGCAGCGTGCAGCGTGCGTGCGGCGGGAGGAACAGAACGTTGGTGAACCGCGTATGGAAAGTCACTGAGCGCGCCTGTACCCTAGTGAGCCGCGGTATTCGGATAACAAGGACAGGACGTCAAATGACGGCTACACTAAAGCTTTCGAGGGCTATGCATAGGGCAGGCGAAAGGGGCATATCTCACCTGTTCCGAGTTTTTCCTCACCCACGCGATCAGCTCTGCCACGCTAATCTGTCCGTCGGAGTCGGTGTCCATCTGAGGACACAATTTGGTCACGGCATGTCATACGCGTGTTCAGCGAGCTGCCCTCCTCACTTGCGGTCAGAACCGCGGTGGAATGCACCGACAGATCCCCACGCACCTTGACGACGAGCTGCAAGCATGTGTACGCACAAACAAGACTTGCTGATACTGTACGCAATTAGATGCAGATTGGTTTACTGCATCATTCATCTCTCGGTACCACTACAACATCTAGGCAAACAAAAACACATCATGCTCACGTCTTCGGCGATCGCCTTGGCCTCCATTGCCGTGCTTTTTGTTGCTAGTACGTGTTGCACCACATGTGCAATCTCTTCCGCAGACACCATTCCATCGGAGTCTCTGTCCAAGACGTGCATTTTGTCGCCGATCCGCTGCTCCACGGACTGGATCTCCAGCTCAAGCCTATTGAGCATGGATGCCAGCTTCGTTTGCACCCGCTCTACGCTCTTATCCACAGCAGGCTGTATGCGGCAACAAAAATAGGGCACATACACCGAGTAAAGGGAGGATGTCACAAGGGTCTATGAGAAAAAAAAATCAACACACATGGGCCAACTAATCGAAAACCGGGGTCCGTGGCGGGGGGCTGACCCCAATTTCTGTATAATTGCGTAAGGGGCGCCGTGCATAGAAGACTCTGTAGTAGGGGGGACAATGACATATTTTCGTGAAGGAAGCCCCGTATACTAATAATTTCTATACAACACTGAAATCGAAATTGCCCTCCCGGGGTGTGTGTGGCCAATGTGTCCAGAATTTATGTTCACATTAGACCCTTGGATGCGTGGGTTTTAAAGGCGTAACGGTAGCCTAGTGCGACACAAAATTCTGTGGTAACCATGCTCAGACGGTACAAACAGCAGGCATGGGTTTTTCAAGGAAACTTAAACTTCGGGCCGCAGGGGTCAAAGCCAAACCCCAAGCAAGAAAAAAGGACGTGGAAGGATTCGTCACAGACACAACACGTACTAATGAGCCCACAACACGTTTTAACGAGTCAAACGAGTCAACTAAAGGGTCGCACAAATGTATCCATGTTCAAGTCGATCAACGAGCATCGATACCGGTCCGCAAGGGTTCAGGATTGTCTTGATCGAAGCTTCGTACCTCTTCAGCCTTGGCATCCTCCTGAACGTCGGCAGCACCCTCAGACCCTGGAGTAGCACCATCTCCTGATGTATAGTAAGTGCAGGGAGAGGCAGGAAAAGGGCAGCCAAGCGATTGGACAGCACCGACACGTTTCATAACCTATAACGACCACCTGTAGAACAATGCGCTCGCCATTTACACAGATTGTATGTAAACCGCGCGTGCACAGTGTTTAGAACCTCCACGCCACAAATCTCGCTAATATTGACAACATAGTCTCGATGGAATCGTTCTCCTCTGCTCGACAATTCGAAAATACTGCCCTACCTGATGCCATTGCGACCGATGGTGATTCCGTCGTCTCCTTCAGTGTATCAGGCTTCTGTGCAAGGGGAGAATAAGGAGTACGTGTGACGGAGAAAGTAGTCAACGAGATCCAAGTCTGTGCGACGTTTGATCGAAAAGAGAGCCGCAGCGCGTGCGAAGACATCAAGGTAGGCCCTCACATGTACCAACGAGGTTCGCTTCATCCATCGCAGCCTTAGCTAGACGATGACATATCATGGTAGTGATCACATGCGACTTATCGTATATTTTTGCCTGTGCGCACGCCGCAATTTCGTTTTCGGCCTCATGGGCACGAACCTCTGCTGGCGGCATCTCGTGCTCGTCCTCGGGCTGTGTCTGCTGACCAGCCCCACCACGCGTGGTGTCGTCCTTCTCTGAGGTAGGCGGACCAGACTCCTTGGACGCTCCTTCGGCGTCGCTGGCATCGCCCGTCTCGACGTTTTTTCGCTCTGTTCCGTCAGGCTGTACAGAACAATGCGACGTACGCTTTCAATCATGGGCCTGTGAGCAGATACACTTAGTATTGCCCGCGTGCTCCTTTACATCTTGAAAAACGGTGTACAGAGATATTGCGGGGGTGGAAATACCGCCCTTTCACCGGCAGAAAGCTATAGAGCTTCAAGGACTAGCAGGCACCCGCATACAGAAGCCCTTGTGCAACACATATCTTATCGCGCATACCTTGCCCAACGACTCTTGCAAGGCCGCCTTCATCATAGCCAACTGTGCCTTCTCCTTCTCGACGCTGGACGGACTGGCCAACGACTCCAGAGCAGCCAGCTCAGCGTTCTTCAAGAGACGGGCACGTCGGGTACAGGGATCACGGCCAGCATGGGCGGGCAAGTTGGACTGAACGTGAGCGGCGATTTTTAGACTGGTTTTGAACTTGACGCAGCAAGGCAGATTTCAACCGCTGGACACAACAGGTGGCAAACCATGCTTCACCGTGAGTTTGTTCCCTCCATCTTCCGCGGCGTCCTTCACTTCCTTGCTCGACACCTGGCGCTCAGCATCAGTCACGTCTCCCACGCGCTGGTCCAGCTCGACCTGGATTGGTGGGTGGCAGAGATGGTGAAAACTAAAGGGGTGTGGCAAAGATTCCCTTCCGAAGGGTTTCTTGGATGGTGAACGCAGAATACAACGCTACCTATCATCCAGAATATACTTGCATGTGTCTGAAGCTGGACACGAGTCATTGCTTGCCACACCACGGCCATGATCAACATGCGTTACAAAAATGAGCAAAAATTGACACAAGCTCAAGCAGCACTTTTTCTAGACCAACCACATACCTTCGGCGTGTTCATAGCACTTGTCTTGGATGCCTTCTTGGACTGATTTGACTTCGCTGCCTTGGAGGCCACCAACCGGCCTCCCACCCCGACACCCGTCGAGGGTGCAACAAGATCTGCTTCAGTGGTGATGGGCTCCGTGCCTTTCTTTGCTTCGACACCCGACGCTGCCCCAAAGCGCTGCTGCCCCTCCTGCATCTCAACCTGTGGCAAGGCGTCCCCTGGCGCTGTCCTAGCCGCTGCTTCGACCGCCGCCTTCTCGACGAGCTTGTCGACAGCTTCATCCTCCGCGGTCTCCTTCACCACAGTCACGCACACATTGCATGTCACATCGCCCCAAGGGGGAGAAAGGCATTAAGCAACCGCGCACTGGCGTGGACAAACATGCCCGGTCAGGAAGTCTCAAGAACTGCTACGTACACTTTCACACGAAGGGCCTTCAGGCCACCCACAAAGCATCTCACCGCCGTGGCCTTCGACGAAACGCCGTCAGCACCAACTTCGCCCGCCTCCTTGAGTTCGGCAGCCTTCAGCTCTTCAGCCTTGCTGGCCTCTTCCACCTTCTTGGCTTCCTGCGCGCAGTAGAGGCAATGTCAATTAACCTTTACGTTGCAGGGATGTAGGTGTACCTCTTCGGGCTTGTGTACCCTTTTCTTGCTAGTTTGCGTGTTCTTTGGATCTTCTGATGGCTCTAGCAGTTTTGTGACCACGGATCGCGTCTTTGCTAAATAGATTTTGGGATTAGCAACTGACACGAGTTTAATGTGAAGACAACAATTGTAGTGTCTTCTCGCTCAGATCGCACCCATTTGTTTCCTCTCTAGTTCTCTCACAGGCCAGCATTCCGTTCTCTCGGCGCACCACAGGCCAGAAATACAATTGACGTAGGAATAGAGTACATTCGACTGCCTACCGTGTCGTTCTTTCTTTTTGCGGGGTTATCTCCGCGCACGGCAGGCCAGGATCACTTGACTTGAGACTTCATTCAAAGATTACACATCCGACCCGTTCGACAGCACGCTGCCTGTCTGTCTCGCTGCTCTCCGTTGCACCTTGCACACTCTGTGCTCGCATCACTCCATCCACAACAGCAGCCATTTATGCGCGCAATATTCTCGCATATTCGACTCCCATTCAGAATTACCATCCGCTGCGATCCGTTCGTATATTGGTTGTTTTGACACATCACACCTACTAGCAATACGGTTAGGCCAGTCTGGCCTTTCTCTACCCGTCCGTCTGTTATCTAGGTCATGCTCTCGCTCCTCACCTCTTGTTGGAGCTCTGCAAATGTGCTGTCTGCGCGTGCATGCGACATTTCGGAACATACCAAACGGAAGTAAAAAAAGGGCCCACTCACGTACGCAAACCACACTGGTCATGAGCGACCATAGGGCGCAGTATAACACCACCAGCCAACATGTCTAATGACCATCCACACGCAATCCCCCTCTAGGTCTAGTGCTCTACCTACTCGCATCTCGAGGCACGCCATTTACCTCCCTGAGTGTTGGCACAAATCATGCGTACAACAAAGTCCACAGTAAAACGCGTGCACGGTCAAGATAGGGTCGCTAGGTGAACTATACTAGTTGGTCGTCAACCATGCGTACAACAAAGCCCGCAGTCAAACGCTCGCGCAAGACGTAGTGACGGCAGCAATATCAAGCATTACATTCCCTCTCGTCTCTGTGCATGCATTGGGTACAACAACAATGCGCCACCATCACCCGCCAGGTGTGGTACGCGCTGTTTTTCACGAACGCGCAAAAAAAAAACGAATCCTTTCTCTCTTTGGCATGTTGCATACATACAGTGAAAGAAAAGTGCGCACTTTAGGTTTTGGTGTGATGGTGAAGCGTGCCCACAGCTCGCGATGGGTGCGCAGCCTCTTACCTGCGCTTGCTCGGCCTCCTCCCTCTTGCGGTTCTCTTCCTCGATGAGCTCGTTCTGTCTCGTCAAAGACTCCAACTTCCTGGTGCGGTACTCCGGCGTCTTCTGCTCCTCGCTGGAGGCAGCCTCAATCATCACCTGCGACATCAATAGCAGGAGGAGTTGTTGAGCAATAATGCCTCGTGAATGGTGCTACTGACATAAAACCTCCCGTGGTCCTGCGAGCTGAACTATGGCGCACGAGAACAGGGGCAGTCGTGTGGTTTTTTTTTCTCGTCTCCACTAGAACCGGTCGTCCCGGTGGTCTAGTGGTAACCTCGAAGCCGCTTGTCGCAAAGTCGTGAGTTCGAATTGGGGTGACAAGATATCAATTTGCGGGTGAATGAGCTGAAAAGCTCGTGAGTACCAAACTTCGACGCTAGCACCGTTCACGAGGGAAAGGGGCGGCTGCACCCTTCTCGCGATAAAAAATAAAATTCAGCACGCACCGTAGGAGGAAGGTGGGGCACGAAAATAAATAAAAAGAAGGAAGAAAGCCCGGTGTTTACCCTCTACTGTGTGACCCTGGATGGTTGTAGTTGTACGAAAAAATACACTGAAAAGTGTAGTACTCTACATACGTTGGAAAGTGTAGAACATGTCTCAGCACGAACACACACCCGAAGCGTCGCAGATTATGATCTCATTCGCCCAACAGCGTAAAAACAACACAAAGGATCTCACCTCGGTCACGACGTCATCGTCCATGGCAGATATTGATTGCGCTAGGGCCTTTGCCGGGTCGGGCGCCTGAAGAGTGAATGCTCGGCTCATGATGAGCAGCGAAATAGGCACACTCTTCTTCGTACTGCACAGTGGCAACACAAAGCAACACGCAGAGAGCTGTTTGTCCGGGGGGGTTTACACCAGCGTGAACTCTACCCAGTGTACCGTAAGAGTCGGAGAGTTGGCACCGGGTGCGATCGTTTTTTTAAATGTTTTTTCCTCGGGTTTTTTATCGCACCCCGGTGCCATCTCTCCAACCCCGGTGCGGAAACGCAATTAAATGATGTCGTTTAGAATTTTCTAGGCACCCCGGTGCGATCTCTCCGACCGGTGCGATCCCCGATGAAATAAATATGACAGCGATCTAGAGTTGTTGGGCGTGTCGGGGGGTGGGGAGAAGGGAGGAGAGTAGACGGAGTTGTGACAATCGGTAGTTCAAAATGCTATTGATCAGTATAGAATCACACGTTTCGGTACCGTTGTTGTTGGTTGGAAGCACACCAGTAACGGCAACGTAGGCTGGCACGTAACAGCTTTCCATGCAGTGAGTTGTCTTGTGTTTGATGCGAGTTTGGCTATGGCGTGACAACAACAAACGATGTCGTTTCCATCTGATGTGGTACCAGTACACACGGTATCAATTGTTTCCCGCTTTCGTTA